GCACATTGGACATGTTGTAGATGGCAGAAAGAGGTATGGGGAACATTAGCAGAATAAAGGTGCTAGCGATACAGAAGAGAGCCTGCTTAGCTCTACTAATGAGCTATTAAGAGCAAGATAGGGCTCAAGTCTCTCCCCCCTCAGCCTTTTTTACAGCCAAAACACACTTTGTCTGTATATCAGCCGAGTAAGAACACACTATTGGAAATGGCAGGTGGAATCTGTTATTGATGTATGTTTTACCCTATTACAGTAATATTATTCATTGCTGAAATAGGGGGAATATATTTAGGTTATTATGAATAGTACCTATACTTTTGTGCCTTTTATTTTTATTTCTAGACTGACCAGTCACAGATTTGCGATGTAGTTTTACAAACTAATTAGTAATTAGAGAAGCATATCACTACCATATCAGTTTAACAGCCAATATAAGAGTTTCATTTTTCATATTATTGATATTGATATTTAGTTGTGCATGCTTATTTTATGTTTAACATTGATTTAATAACACTGTTAAATGTCATACTATATACTTTGTATACTGTATATATCAAATTATGATGCCTAAATTAATTTGCAGCATTTAATATGAGTTTAATTTTTTTTTTTTAACAATGCAGAAAATGTATGAATGTTTAATTATAAGAGTCTGAAAAGTTCCACATATTCATAACATCACCCACAGAGACATTTTATGAAACATGTTTTCTATATTTAAAATGAAAGTAGTGATCATAGTTCTGACTTTTTTCCATCCTTCTTATGCGTGCCTGTTTTGTTTCTCCATAATGCTCAGGAGGTTTGTAAAATCTTGGAGTTCTGATAGCTGTGTAACCCAAATGGTGCATTGCCTAGACTCAAAGGACCTGGTCAAAATGAGTTTTCCCATCTTCAGGTATTGTCACGGCATGCCTTGTTTCTTATTTATACATTGATATGTCTCACCATCTGTCTTTTTGTCTCTATCTATGTTTATCCGCCCATCTCCCCTTTGTCCCTCTTCTCTTTTGACGCTGAAGTGTTTTGTTGTCTCTAAATAAATGAGGTGGGTGAGTTTTGCCATTCTGACACTGTGGGCTTCATTTACCATCTGATGGGAGGCTATACCAGCAGTGACACATGGAGAAAAACAGAGGAAGAGAAGGCACTCATATTGTCCTAGGATCCTCACAGCTACTTAATTAAGGAAATCTCTGAATAACCTTAGCACAGAAATGTAAAATAAAATAAAAACATGATGAAAGCACAAAAATGTCCCATCGAAAAATATTAGCATTTCACAATGTAATGACTGCTTTTGTTAATGATAGAAATGTCTAAACTGAAGGTCAGGACTTTAATTCCAACACAAATAATTAAATTGTTGCATCTACTGAGGCATTTTCAAATAATACTTCCCTTATACCACATACTTTAATTAAATACTTATAATTTATAAATAGCTATCAAAAGTTTTTTTTTAGTAATTTGCATGATTACAGGGTCAAACATTTTCTAAAATGTTGCCAGGTGCAGTGGACTGTGCACATGCTCAGCACATCAAAAAACTGATGGCTCTTTACTAGGTTTGAGTCCAATCCCATTCTTCTCCTCAGTACACTCTTAAGCTTTTGCCATTGTCTGCCCAGCATCTAGTTATTGGACCAGTATAGAAATTGCAAATTATGTTGTTCAGTCATGTTGGCAACTTGTATATAAGGGATACTCGGTTAAGCAAGTTGAAAAGCCTGCACCTTCAAAAAAAAATTAAAAAAATTATTACATGCTATTGCTTGTCAATGGGGCAGTGCCCTCAAAGGTTCACTTTTGTGCGTTATCTACCACTAACATATACATACTAGTACTTTAAAGGGTTTGTTCACCCCCCCCCCCCCCCCCAAAAAAAAAAAAAAAAAAAGAATTCTGTCATTAATTAATCACCCTTGTGTCGTTGTGATCTTCAGAACACAAATGAAGACCTTTTTACGGAAATCTGAGAGATTTCTCGCTCCTTTGACAGTCTACGCAACTACCACTTAAAAAAGTTCACAAAGAGATCGCAAAATTAATCGATGTGAATTTATTGGTTAAGTCCAAATTTTCTGAAGAGACACGATCGCCTTACTGTAAATGATGAACAGATTGAATTCAGACTTTTATTCACATATAAACATTCATCAACACACAGTTTTGGAAAACTGAAACTCAAACCTGGTCACTTGGCATGCGAGAACCAATGAGCATCATTCTCATGTAACGCAGCACATTTGAGCTTCTGTTTGCTTATCAATATGTGAATAAAATCCTAAAACTAAAAATGCTCATCATATAAAGCGATCGTCTCTTCAGAAAATGTGGAATAAACTGCTCAATTCATATGATTTAGTTTTAATAAAATAAAAAAAACATCAATATGGTTCTTTCTCATGACTAAAAAGAAAGCAAGAGAAATGATCCTTCCGTTCATAAAACATGCTAGGCTTAAAGGAGATACTGTATATACCCACCCAGTTTAGATGGAAAGTCTCTCAAGCTGACTAGCTGAAGACGCTACAGTACCTGCACCACTTAATAGACACAGCACTTCCTTGAAAATAAATTTCAGCACAGCGCTACAAAAATCCAAATGAAATGACCTTTAACAATATAATAATTTACAATGAACTCCATTAAATGACTACATATTTATATACATATAGAGCTACAATTTTTCTGTTGAATATAAATACGCTATCTCTTGGCTACGCCAAGCCGATGTTGATTCTTGTTTTATTACGAGCTCTGTCACGTTCTCTGTTTGCTAGTAAACTCTCATCTGTTCTGGGTCTTTTAAAACAGGAAATTCTCCGGAGGTTTGAGATTCTCCTGAGGTTTGAACAGGGAGGGAGCAGCAAGACGAAGACGACGTCTATGCGATACACCGAAGCAGTTTGTTTATACCTATGGATCCGACATGGCAGCAGACACGAAGTTATGTATATTCGCATATACATGTTAAACAACAAAACATCCTAGAAAATGGCTCCAATCTATTAGTTTCAGTTGTACTTTCGATATGTTTATAAGACTGGAACTCTGCGGATAACACACAAATTAACCACGCACTCGGGTTTGATTTGGGTTGTGCTAGCCTATGTAGCTGTCTGTATGTTACATAAACTAAAAGAACGGTTATATATAATATTTTCTGGCTAATTTACTTTAGATTTATATATATATATATATATATATATAATACACATCTTTCACCCAAACTGAATAATTAAAAACAAGTTTTTCCCAGGTAGCCTAAATAACTCACTAAAAACTCACTAGCTTATTCTGTGCATTTTGGGCACTTTTTATGTGAAATCATTTTTATTTTTGTTCATCAAAACTGTGCTTTCACTTTAATTGAAGTGTGAGCAGTGCAGCAAAAAACAGATTCGACGCCGAAACCCCCGCTTCATTGCTACTCACTCGAAACTCTTTTTCCCGTTGAGAATGCACTCATTGATTAACATGCACGCCGAAAAAGATATGCATTGTGAAACGGCCTTTAGATACATGCCATCATGTACACATAAATCTCTTACCCATCGTCTTCTTCCTTGTCCAATAGAGTGCCGTAGTTATGACGTCACTTTGTAGGACAACTCGGAAGTTAGCGTCGCAGGGGTTCCCAACGATCGAAAAGCTATGCATTTTCCCCATAGACTTTTGGAAAATCACAAAAAAATAAGATCTGTGTTCAACAAAGAGTTGTGACCCTTACATGTTTTGTCTATCAAGATAATCTTTACAAGTTAATCCAAAATGTATACATTTTGAAGCCTATATAAAGTTTAAAAAAAACACAAGCAGGTTATAACTGGTGTGTTTTATGTCATAGATCAAAGCGTGAAAATATTTAGAGGCTTTGTTAATTATGTAGAGCGACAGAAATGTGCTGAAGTTATGACGTCACTTTGTAGGCCAAAACGCGGAAATGAGTTAGCATTTTAGCACTTCCGGTTCCCTCGCCCTAAAGTCTATTTTGCTAAATCGCCTGAAATAAGGTCTGTGGTGAACAAAGCCTCTACGTATTTTCATGTTTTGATCTATGACATAAAACAAACCAGTTATATATAGTTTTTAAACTTTATATAGGCTTCAAAATGCATAAATTTCTAGGAATAGAAATTTACTTGTACATTTCAAGGAATGACTTGTAGGAAGGAATAACTTCACTTGTAAATTTCAAGGAATAACTTGTAAAGATTATCTTGATAGACAAAACGTGTAAGGGTCACAACTCTTTGTTGAACACAGATCTTATTTTTGTGACGGGTATTACCGACAGTTTTGAAAAGCAACAGATATTTGAAGATGCCTCTGTACCGAGACAATCTCGTGTCCTACAGTCTCCGTGCAGGACGTCTTCATCTTTTGTTGACCTGGACTGTCTCGGACCACAGCTGGTACGCGTCCCACCAAACTCTTTTTCCCAAGCTTGGCGTAGAATTGCCCCTCTGCCCCTGTGGCCCCTTTTCGTAGCCTCCTCTTACCTTTTCTTTAAACAATCCCTCCCTCTCATCTTTTCTTTAAACAACCTTTCCCTCTCTCCAACAGGCTGCCCCACACACTCGCTAAATGAAGTTAGTCCAGCACCCCCCTCCCCATCCTCTTCTGCTCCCCACCAGACACACTCACAGAATTGTTTGTTAATAGTCCAATTAGATAATTGCCATCTTTCACTCCTTTTGCTCTCCGTTTCCCATAAAGGACTGAATGGCTTCGGGAGGGGGGGGAGTTCAGCATGAAGAGGGCCTCTGGCCCTGCAAGGTGACAAGAAGGGTCCGAGCCTGTTCCATGCTCACAACCATTGGCTTGAATTGAATCATTGTAGCCTAATCAATGGTCTTATTGGATTACAGACCACTGCTGTTCCCCCAGATATTGTTGCTTTGACAATGAAAATAGGCGAGACTGAGTGGGTGGGTGGGTGTGTAGTGGTGTGGAAGGAGTGGGAGAGGGGAGGAGGAGGGGGCCGCTTTGGATTTTAGCGTTGGTATCTCGGACAGGTTGAGTTTTTTAGCGGTGCTTCAGCAGGTTTCTTTCAGGGCGAGGGGGCTGAGTGATCCTCCTAGCATTCGTTTGGGGTCTGTATTTGAGGTGCTGGCTGACTCTGGGTGGTTGTTGCACACTGTCCTCGGCTTGACAGAGTTCCCCCCTTGTGTTCATCTCCTTTCTTTTGTGAATCCGTGTTCATTACCACTACAGATTCCGAGCGAAGTGGATTCCATTTTTTTTTTTCGTATTTCAGGTCTCTCCGCCTCTCTCGTTCTCTCTCTCTCTCTCTCTCTCTCTCTCTTCGCTCTCTACCGATCTTTCCCTCTCTCTCTTTTTCGCTTTTTGCTTGTATTAGCTCCGAGGGTGCAGTGCGTGGTTTACGGGCCGTTATCCGGGGGAGATTCACAGCCTGCACGTAAAGTTAGCCCGACCGAACTACAGCCTGAGAGCAGAGGAACGGTCACTGCCGGGGCATCGAGGAATGAAGTGGAACTTTTCTGGCGGTCCTTTGGCTCCGTAATTGTGCGTGGTGGCGATTCGAGGCAAATCATCTCCCTTGATCCTGCGTGAACGAGGGCGGAGAGGGGGGTCGGAGTGAGTGGACCCCTCTATCAGGACAATGTGTATTTCCCAAACAGTTTAGAGTATTCATGAGGTTACGCAAATGTGGAGGCAGCAAAATTACCGTAATCAATTGAAGCGGCGAGCATGCGTCCGTCCACAGCTCTGATTACCCGGAGATTAGCCTGATGTGAATGTTACAAGGAGAGGAGCTGTTAAATTGCTGTTGAATTTGGGTGAGAAGTCTATGATCATTGGGCAAGTGAGTTTGCACAGAGATAATAGGGCAGATCACTGGACTGGGCAAGTGCTGGTGGCACATTAGCTATCTGACTCCAACTCCAAGCTGCTGTTTTACAGAAAGACCAAACCTATATTACCCAGAATAAGCAGGCTGTGTCAAAAACCCTTGCAGTTATTCCTTCCCAAAAAGGAGAAATCTTCGCGACTATGGATGTCCGCTACGGCCAAGACTCGGAGTCCGGAATGCTGCTGAAGACTGGACTAAAAGAGGGGAAAGAGGGAAAGGATTCTCAGGGGAACATTTCAAAAACATTCCTGAAGGACCAGCAGGAGTCCTTCTCTCCATCCGGACCAGTGGAAAACTGCGAAAAGAGCCGGACGAGCTCAGGGGATCCTGACTACTGCCGAAGGATTCTTGTTCGAGGTAAGTTCAAAAACACTCCTTTGGAGCTTTCAGTAAATTCTGCACTCCAGAAAAAAACAAACAAACAAGAAATCGATTTAACTTTTAAATTGGCTTTTATTGCTAGTGTCGCTGGTTTTGTTGTCTTCCATGAGTGAGCGTGTATAGATTTGAGCGTTCACAAGTGTAAATTGATGTACGCTGAATTGATATGTTTTTTGTATTATAGAAAAATAATTTTAATTGTTATTTTATCAGCTGTTAAAGTGTGTCATAGCTTAATGATCCAACTTTTCTGCTGCCTTTTAGTTGCAAATATTTGTATATTACCATTATAGACATAAACACTAAAATTAATTGATTCATTATCAAAGCTGGAAAATACTTTAGCTCTGGTATTATATAATTGACAAAGATTTATTAGTTTAAAGTACATTTTCTGTGATTGTGAGGTTTAAGGATAAATTTAGTTATTTTTGCACATAAAGGATAATTTCACTTTTTATTTACACAACTGATTATGTTGCTTATAATTTTTATATGGTCTTATGATCTCTGCTTTTTATAATTATGAGCTTCAACGCTTTTTGTCCTTCATTGGAAAAATTACTAAGGTATCGGAATGGAGATTTGATTTTTTTTTTCTTTTCTTTCATAAACAATGTAATTGAGATTGTGGAGCATGTACAATAATTTATTTGTAAATTGAAAATGTTTCACATTAATTTTCAGAAAAGCTATTATAATGTTTTCATATAATGGCTAAAAATTGTTTGTCGATTTGTGTCAAATTACTAACATAGTTGTGAAGCCCCTCCTGCTACTGTCAGCTGATTGTAAAATTCTGGAGAGCAATCAGCTCCATTAATTTATTTAGGTTGTGAAGCTAAATCTAGGTCATTCTCAGAGGCCTGTTGAAATATGAGGAAATTAACCTCATGAAATTATTGTGTCATTTCTTCAGTCACAATTTAGCAGCCAATACAATAATTCAGTATCTGGATTTGAATAATTTGTAGACCAGTGTGTGTGTGTGTGTGTGTGTGTGTGTGTTTCATGATTTTGAAGTTGTTTCAAAACTTAACTTATTTTAAAAAGAATGTATTTATTGATAAGAAAAAAATAAGCATGCTGGTGCGCGGATCTCTGACATTAATAACAAAAAAGAAAAAAGACTGTTGATTTGAAATATAAAAAAAACAGCTAACGTGTTTGGTGTGTTTTTAAATATTTATTATTTTTAGTTTTCAGATCACACATTTCTCTTCCTCCTTTCATTTACTTTGTTCATTTTATTACGAAAGTTATTAGTAACCATTTAGTCTGTCTTGAGATAAAAATTGAGATGAAATATTTATAACTGAAATGTGAAAGACAGAAAAATCTAAAACTGTTATGCAGCTGATTTGATAGATTTTCATGTATTTGTGATTTATGCAACTTAATAGCTTTTTTATTTTACACAACACTATTTTCATAAATAATAAGTTGTTAGTATTTAAAAGCGCAGACCATTTTTTATTAATAAAGTAATAAGTACTAGTCATTTATATGCCATGCCATATCTACAAAAACATTACGGTCTTTGGGGAAAAAAAGGTTTTCTTGATTAAAACACCAAGTTTTGTACAGTTAATCTGTTTTGCATCAGTATCTTTATTAATTTCTCAAAAAAGTTATACTTTTAGCATGTTTTTATTATATAATGATTTCTACTAATTGTATGTACAAATACTTCATTGGTAGGCTATTTTAGAAACACTTTACAATAAGATTTCATCTGTTAACATTATTAACTACATGAACTAACAATGAACAATACTTCCACAGCATTTATTGATCGTAGATGTTTATTTCAACATTTAATACATTTTTTTAAATCAAAAGTTTTATTTGTAAACCTTAGTTAATGCACTGTGAACTACATGAACAAACAATGCACAGCTCTATTTTTATTACCAAGATTAACAAAGATTAATAAATGTTGTAAGAAATATATTGCTCTCTGTTAGTTTATGTTAGTTAATACTAATGTTAATAAATGAGACCTTATTATAAATAAATTATAAAGTGTTATCTTATAGCAGGTATATTTACTGAAAACATAAAAGTGTTATAAAGTGTTATCTTATATATTTACTGAAAACATTTTCCCCTTGACATTTAGATGCCAAAGGTTCGATTCGAGAGATTATTCTCCCCAAGGGTTTGGATCTAGACCGACCAAAGCGTACTAGGACCTCGTTCACAGCAGAACAGCTGTACAGACTGGAGATGGAGTTTCAGCGGTGCCAGTATGTTGTGGGACGAGAACGAACCGAACTTGCCCGACAACTTAACCTGTCTGAAACTCAGGTACACACTCAAATACACATATCGATACACAAATACAATGACAAATACACAAAACAATCAATTATAAAGACTCAAAAATAATCACAGACGTGCATCACACACATTCAGCTCTCCCAAAAACATTTATCCTTGACACGTCTGACGCATTTGATGTGTAAAAATGCATTTTTTTTCACTCTGTACCATCTTAAAAGACACACAGCGACCTGGTAACAATGTTCTTAATATACGATTTGATCTTTATTTTATTTGCATTTTGATCATCCTGTGGCATCCCTTCAGAGCACCTAAAACATCAATGGTCCAATCGCATCTTCCTGCCATTTTCCTGGATAATTCCCTTTTGCAATAGTTTGATGGTTTGTTAGTCGCGTGTTTGTTAGACGCTTTACAAAAATAAGCCCAGAGATGCATTTGCAGCACATGCTTTGCGCTGGGGTCAGTAAGAGGTCACAAGCTTGAGATTACATGACTGAACTGTACATGCACTCTCTCTCTCTCTCTCTCTCTCTCCCCCTGCTTATGGCGGCCTTTTTTATCCCCTTCTCTCTCTCTCTCTCTCTCTCTCTCTCTTTCTGCTTGTCTCCCTGGATAATCTGCAGTGCGGGTAAACTCTGACTTCAGTAGTAAGGCTAATTTTGGAGCCCACGTTTTTTATTTGTTTATTCATCAGTGAACATGTTCATTATACCACATGCTTGCATGACCAAGTACTGCATTTGTTAAGGAAATGTCAGGCTCACAAATCTTCTTTTCTCAATTATTCAATCGTATGTTGTTACTATTGATCGGGCCTCCCCTAATTAAACTCCTTGAACACCTGCAAACCGCCAAAGCTGTCTCAATGTTCCTAATTCTGTTTGGCCATTTGAACTGTGTCACATTCTATCACATCATCACCCCACTAACGACTTTAAAATTCTTCTGCTCTCCTGTGGGGCGAAATTACGACATTTGAAGCCCCGAGGCAGATCGGTGCTGCTAACACGGGGAGCACAATAGAGTTAGCTTCACTAATGCCCTCTCTAATGCCCCGTGATGCAGTGCAGTTCAAATCCATGCCTTGATTACATTAAAGCTTTCCGTGTCTCTTCTTGGCCGCCTGATGAGGACGGTGAAGTGCTTCCTTAATGACGGCATCATGAAATTAACATTGTGTTCAGAGACGCGAAATGTTCTGTGGAAAGATCAAACAAGGAAAGTCCTTGTGAAAGTTTGCGTGAAAGTGTTCCAGCAATGCATTTTTTTATTTCTCAAAGACAAAAACAAGAATGCGTGCGTGTAGAACTGCTGGTAATTCAATGTTTTCCTTGACCTTCCGGTTCATGTTATCAAGAAAACATTGCAAGATTAAACAAATACAAATGTATATGTTAGAAAAGTATGGTTTAATCTGATAACTCAATAATTAGCGTGTCTTTGCAACACTAATGGAACTGTTAAGGTATGTACTTGCGTAACTAACAGCGAGCTGCATATTTGTTCTTTAATAATTTTGCACTAAACATTTAAATATGACCGCCATTGCGATGCCTTTAATGTGACAGTTAAATTGCGTGACACAATTCTGAGATGTTAGTCATTCTTCATTGTTCTTATTTCTCTGAATCTATCGATCACTTTAAGTACAGTGAATATGAAGCGCACCTCCTTTTCTCTATAGAAAATACATATATATAATGACTTTGTTTTGCTAGTCATAGAGCTTGAGCTAAACATGTATTATCTGGAAATTGCCATTCCTCTTTCTTTGTAAACCTAAATGAAATGGATACAGTACAATTATGTGGTTCAAAACAGTATTGATTCATCCGTCCTTGCAAAAGGAGCTTGTGTTGTGCTGTTTTTCAAAACAAAAGCACACATTTGTGTTCATTAAGTAAGTTGATATCAACTTACTTTTACCTTTTTTTTAAATTTCAAAATAAATTTCACTTACACTATTGATTTTAACTTAACTTTTTTACTGCTCCAAAAATGAATCAGATTTACCACAGGTATATATAATTTAATCACATTTTACCTTATTTAGTTTCTACAAATAGACTTCTCGAAATCATGGTATGTAAAAAATCAAATTTGTTTTACTTTTTTTAACTTTATATTTATTTATTTGTTACAATTGTAACCAATTCTAGCATTAGTATTATGCAAAATCACACAATTTCCCTCATGATTTTGTTTTTTGTGTTCCATTTTAAGCTGTTTTCTCTCGTTCCGTCTTTCGGCAGGTGAAGGTTTGGTTCCAGAATCGGCGCACTAAGCAGAAGAAGGATCAGGGGAAGGATTCAGAGCTGCGTTCCGTGGTCTCCGAGACAGCCGCCACATGCAGCGTCCTCCGTCTCCTGGAGCAGGGCCGGCTCCTCACCCCCCCTGGCCTGCCAGGGTTGCTGCCCCACTGCGGGAGCTCGTCACTAAGCTCAGCCCTGCGTGGGCCGTCTCTGGGCATCACCGCAAATGGAGGCTCCTCCAGCAGCAGTAGCAGCAGTGCGGCTAGCTCAGGCACAGCCGGGGGGAGCCCGCCGCTACCAGCGGTGACCAGTTCGGGGACAGTCACGGGGCTGCAGGGATCTCCGCCTGCCCACGGGCTGTTTAGCTTTCCTATGCCCTCTCTACTTGGGTCGGTCGCCTCACGCATCTCCTCCACCCCGCTCGGCATGGCCGGATCCCTCGCAGGGAACTTGCAGGAACTTTCTGCCCGCTACCTGAGCTCCTCCGCCTTTGAGCCCTACTCGCGGACCAATGGCAAAGAAGTGCTAGACAAGAAAGTTTTGGAATGATCACTAGGGGTTTCTTTTTGTCTTTGTTGTTGTTGTTGTTTTGAAATTAGTTTGAGCTCTGATTATCTCTCTCTCTTTTTTTATTAACTTTCGCCCCTTTTGTCACATCATTGCTGTTGTGTTTTTTTCCCTCATGTCATCAACCTGCACACTTGATTCCACTCAGAACTGTAAAAAGGTGGACTCATACTTTTCAAAAACGAGGATTTTCAGAGCTTTTTGCACTAAATCAAAGTTTCTCCAAATTTGACACAAACGAGAGCTTGAGGAAGGAATGTAGCAAAATATTATGGAGGGGAAGAGAGAAAATGCTTTCTGAGGCAATATTTTCGGGGCACTTTTTTTCCCGTACAGCTTTTTTGGAGCTGGACAGTTGTATTCAGATTAAAAACGAATCTGAAAACTGCTGGCTATTAAATCAGTAGTACAGAACATAGACCCCCTGATTAAAAACTGAACTCAAAACTGCTCATGGTTTCAGTTTGAAGAGCGATCTAAATGAGATTTTTACATAGCTGGTTTTGCCGAGTCTCAAATAATGAAATATATATATTATATCGGAATTCATTTCGAAAAGTTAGCATACAATACACAGTCATACTGTGGCTTTATATACACAGTTCACAGTTTGCTCTACCAAGCTATTAGATCAGATGTCTATACCATTTTGTATTCGTTTGGTTAAAGATGTTCTGACTAAATCGAAGGAAAATGCTGTCAGACCGTTAAATAGTCCAATAGTCCTGTGTTGTTCTCTACATGGTTTCTGTGAGGGTGCTCCCCAAAACGAGTTTTGAAGGCAGTCCCAGTTTGTGAGTTTGTATGTCTTAAATATGCAGTTTTTCTCCTCTGTGTGTGTGTGCTGGTACTAAAGTTGTAGTCCTGGTTTTCATGTGTAGGTGCTTGTTTAATTGAAAACCTTACGAGAAAATTTGAAATGTCAAAGCTCCTGAGTGTCGACAAGAACCTCGCATTATCGGACTAGTCGATTTGCCGTGAGCAGCAAACCCTGTACCAATGCGGCAAAGTTTTCCTGAAGAATTCTACGCCCTTTCTATTATCAGACATGAAACGAGGCAGATCTCTGATGGACGAACAGGGTACGATTACTGTAGTATAAAAGATTGAATAACTAAAATTGTTATTTTATTGTAAATTATTCACGTCTGTAATAAATAGATCCTTAGTATATCTGTAAATAATGAAAGAATGAATGTATCGGGGGGGAGGGGGTCTGACTGAACAGCCAATCAAAGCTCGGGTGGTGTTGTTGTTAAATATCTTGAAGTTTGTGAATCGTGGTATGAGTGTGGATATATTATATATAACTAAAAAGTCAAAACAAAACCAATCTGTTCAGTCTTTCATTGCATCTTTCTTAGCTGTGTAAATTTTAAATGATGTGACGGTTTCTTCATGTGGCGTTCTCAGCATCAGTGCAAATCGTCCAAGGTCACTTAACATTGCCAGTTCTGTCACAGCGCTCGCTGACATTGTGTGCTGTGGGGATGTTTAAAGAAGAAGAAGAAGTTGTTTTATTTATATTGCACCTTTCCAAAGCTCAAGGTCGCTTTACATTGTACATTACAATACATTTAGACGCCCACATAAATATAACAGTCACATAGGATACATATGATCACATTATCCAAAATGGATGTTAAATAGATATGTTTTTAACTGGGTCTTGAATGTAGCCACAGATGAGTTATTACGTATTGTAAGAGATAGCGAATTTAACGAGGGATGGAAAGTAAACCGAGTTCATCTGATTTTCTAATTCATCTGTTTGAGAGACATACAGGAGTTCAACCTTGCGTGAATGAATGTGTCTGAACATCCTGGAATTGCTCTTAATATATTCTATTTCATTTGGACAGAAACATCTCCCAGTTACATCTCCCAGTTACTCCTTGAAGACAGAGAAACAATTGTAGCAAACACAATAGGAGGAGGTTTGTGAGAAATCTACTGGTCTAACTGTGATATTACAGGAAGGAAATAATCAAAGTGTTTGATTTTAAAGGTGGTTTGAAATATTAATCTGAAACATCTAGGATTTTTGCATTTCTTTACAACACAATTAAGACTTTTAAACGATGAGTGAGGGTGAGACAGTGATTTTAAATGACAAAAGTGAAATGAGGTGAATTTAATAATTTATTGAGGTGTGGGATGGGAGGTAGACCAGACACCTCTGTTTTTCAAAGAAGAAAAAAGAAAAATCTGTCCTTGTAATTGCATGAACATTATGGTGTTGTTGCATATAAAAGAGACAGAGACTATAGAAACGATTTTGGCATACACAGGGTAGAGAGAGGGGATTTTTTATTTGTAAAATGATTTTATAAATGTAAGCTTGAGCAAAGTCTGAAGGTTGCGGAATGGCAATGACTAGCCAAATGAAAGCAGAACTTCTCAGTGCAGATGAAGTTTTGCAACACTGAGTTCCTCAAGGGCAAAAAACCCCACAATAAATCTGCATTTGAAAACCAGGATCTTAGTTTTTTGATGCCATTCAAACTGAAAATCTTTCATTGAAAAAAAGACAGGTTAATATTTATTCAAAGTAACTTGGAATATTGTTCAATTTATATGATTTTTGTATTACTTTGTTTTGCTGATAATACAATTTGAAAAGAAATAAGTTTGACATTTCTTTGATTACATGCCAGTTTTAGCTTTCGGGTTTGAGCTATCACATGTTTGTGTGCGTGTTTATATGCGTGCACTGATTGGAGGATTCTAACTAAAGGCCTTTGTCACTTTGCTACTCGGAGTGTTTTGCAGTCTTTGCCCTTCTGAGTCTTGGGAATCTTCCTCAAAAAAAACACAACGGTCTTGGCCTCCTCTCCCCCTCGCTCTATTTCTCCTCCCTCACAGCCCAATTAGGCTGAAGGTCGAGCTGCATTGTGGTTGGGGGTGAGGGAACGGGTGGAGACGATGGGGGAGAGTGTGAAAGAGGGAAGGGGGGGATTGTGTGAGACCACCAACACGTTCCCCGCGTCACATGACTAGCCCTTAAACACCGGCCTACAGAGGGAGGAAAGGCAGCATCCTGTGGGTGTTTTGTGCTCTTTGTGGATCCCTCACTTCCTCTTTTATTTGTGCTTACATATGGTGATCAGAGCGTAAACGCACGCTGTGAAAGAACCTTGTACAAGAGTAGAGTGGACTCGTGACCCCGATGGTCCTGGAGAGCGTTAAATCCTGTCATGGCTTTCCCGGCCTTTCCCTGAAGTGTCATACATGCTGACAGGCTTTTGCAACTAAATGATCCAATAAACCAATCAGGGGATTTTGAAAAGCTGAGCAGCAACACGCTGGTACCTTTGGCACATAGACTTGCCTGGGCCCTTAGTTCAATATGCCTAATGCTGACTAAGAATTAGTTTAGAAAATCCAAAAGAAAACACTTTCCGATATCTGTCTTCTGAGGATGAATAATTCACATTCGGAAGCATAATCAGAGGAAAATAATAGTTATACATAATGTACACTGAAAAAAATATTGTTGGTTTAACTTAAAAAATTAAGTAACCTGGTTGCCTTCAAATTTTAAGTTCATTGAAATAGAAAAATTGAGTTAATACAATGAAACACTCTTAGGAGAGTGTTAAACCACTCTTTGGTTTAACCTTTTTGGTTAATTCATTATCATTTGTTTTGTCCTTTCCGGATTAAATATTTCATATTATTGACAAACATCAAGACCCTAAAATGGATGCATGAATGTGAATGATCACAAAATTCAAGATATGGGGGTTAGAAAATGTATATATTTATATCATTGTTGACACGAAGAGTTCCATTTCAGTTTTTCTCCTCCAAAAATCAGCATGATTAAAATGTGATATTAACAGTTTAATAAACAATACTTTAATTACAACTACAAAATGGTGCTGAATAATGTAATATGAATAATAGCCTATAAAGAACCTTAGGACCAAAAGGGTTCTTTCTTGTCATTATAGAACCTTTTTTAGCACAAAAGGTTCTTTGGAATGGAGTAAAGAACCCTATGCTTCATATATAGAACCTCAATGAGTAAAGAGTTTGATTTAATCACCAAAAACTCAAAATATTATGTTATCTGAACTACATAAATTATTTAAGTTGACTTGACAAAAGAAAAAAAAATGTTGTGATTACAAATTATGAAAATATTTTTTTATAGAGCTTTGAAACTGATTTTTACAAAAGTAAGACTTTCTTTGAATTGGATTTCATGAAACATTAAAATTAAGCCTATAGTTTTTAATGCAAATGTCTGGTCTTGTTTTGAAATGAATAAATAAATAAATAAATAAATAAATAAATAAATAAATAAATAAATAAAATACTTCATCAACACACTCGGCCTCTGAAACAAATTTCCAATTTCCTGACATCATTGAGTCTTTTATTTCCAACCTACCACTTTTCACGATTCAATTAAACACAATTGAAATAAAATCAAGTTCTATCCTCTAAGCATCCTTCTCGCTCAGAAATGCTTCACATTTTATAAATAAAATGGGTTGTGAATGTAGTTTTTTGTGTTAATTTGAAGCAATCATTTACTAATTAACTGCCTACAGATGCATATGGCGGTTTATGACAGAAACCTGCTGACTAGTGGCATATCACTAAGCCTATTAGTAGCTATCTGACACAGCAGCAGACGTCTGAAAACGATAATAATCAGCGAAGCCAGTGATGGCCCCTGCTGTGGTAGATTAAATACAGATGTTGTCATCAAATCTCACAGGTTTCAAACAGCAATTATGCAGGTGGTATAAACACCATTAATCGCCACATTAGAAGCAACAAGTATCTCATTGAGGCGTTGGAGAGCCAAATCGGTTTGGTTGGCCCGTGTGAGTGGCACTACACCAAAATAGCCCATTTCATAATGTTTTCGCATTGTTGTGTAATATTTAATGCAATTAAAAATCACTTGTTTTTTAACAATAGCACAATTGTCTAGCAGAGGATTTGTTTCCCACAGCGTTTTGATTCAATTTGCGTTTGCATGGAGCAAGGTCGCTTCAAACGAACAATAATAAATACATCAACAATCCAACCTCCCTCCACCTGAACCAAACCGCACCACAAAGCCTTGATGGTTTGTGTGTGTGTGTGTGTGTGTGTGTGGACGGATTGTGAAACAGATGTATTTTAAGCGAGGGCACGGCTCCAGTGGGTGGGTACACTTCAGGGGCATTAATTTGCTATTTTTTGCATTCTGTCTGAAACATTTGGATTGACTCTCAAGAGACTTCACAAACGGCAGCATCACCACCACAACACCCACCCACTCCAAACTCTAGTGCTTTTCCCTGCCAGCATGTTTCACACCGTAGAGTGTGTGTATACTCATATCCAAACAGTATGGGTGTGTGTGTGTTTGTGTGTGTTAGGGCAGAGGTTCAAATCTTCAAATTTCAAACATTAGATTTGAGTTTTGGACCTATTGTACTTGCTGCATGAAGAGAGAGATGAATTCAGTGGGAGAATGAAAATCAGATAAGTGTCTGAAGAGTGTGTTCAAACATCTAGTGTAGCTGTCAGTAAGGAGGAGTGATACGGTAATAATAGTTGAGTGGAAAGTTACACATGCAGATGAAGATCCAAATGGATTCCACAAAAGTAAAACTTTCCTTGAATTGACCGTCATGGACAAAAAAAAGGAAAATAAATGAAAATGGACCCTGTGAATGACAGAAAAAAGTTTAATCAACACACACACACATGCACTTTGTGTTTATGGGGACTGTACAAACGGTTCGATCCCCTAACCCTAAACCTGCCCATTACAGATTTTTTTTTTTTTTTTTTTTTTACATTTTTCAAAAAAAAGAAAACATAAATTAGTCTGATTTATAAGGTGTTTCCTCATGGGGACCAGAAAAAGTAATACTTTTTTTTTCAGTCAATTCACAAAATATCAAAAATTAAACTAACAAAATAGACAATAAAATCACGTCTCTTTCATCTGAGCATTCCATTTTGCTCAAAAATACATCACAATTAATAATTAAAATAGGTAAAAAAAAAATGTGTTGATTATAAAACAATCAGATCATTAATGCCCATTCAAATCACTCGCCAAATGTTTTTCTTAGAATTATAAATATCTTCTTTTATGTCCCACAGAAGAAAGTCAAGCCAAGTCACCTTAATTTAGCGTTTTATACAAAACAGATTAAAGCAGATTAAGACAAATGATGCATTTCTGCTGTTATTCAGCTGAAGTCAGTTCAGTGTTGATTCAGTTCCTTTGTAATTATTAAATTAGTTCATTGCATGAATGAAACTCAAACCGATTTGGAACAACATGCATTCAGCAAACAGTCATTTTAAGTAAGCAAGTGGCAGATGTTTAATACTCACAAATGTATACATTTAAATTGCTCTTGATTTGAAATATTTGCTTCATATCTTTATCTTAAAATTATGATGCAATGTCAATCTAAATATTTTGTAAAATATTTGTATCAGTTTTAATTGCTAATTAAGTAAATGCTAATTTGCCAATTGGTAACACGATGCTTTGATAACCAAATCATAGCAATTGTTGAATAAGTAAGGCAATATAATTAATTTACCATAACTGTTCTCATACTAACCCCACACAACACAAACTATCATCCCTGACTAAAAAATAACAAAACGTTCATTTATTTTTACTTAGATTGCTTACAGAGCATTCGCAATGTTTATTTATTTTTTAATTCAAAGTTTGAGCTTTATAGGGATTAGAAAAACTTGGTTATACTTTTTTTAAGATGACTTTTTGAATTATATTAAAGTTCTGACTGAGTAATAGCAATTAACAACATGTACCTACTATACACTCTAAAAAAAATGCTGGGTTGTTTTAACCCAACTTTGGGTCAAACATGGACAAACCCAGCCGTTGAGTTTAACCCAACATTTGGGTTTGTCCATGTTTGACCCAAAATTGGGTTAAAACAACCCAGCATTTTTTTAGAGTGTGGATCTAAGTTGTAAGGATCACTAAATCGAGTCCAACCTTTAGTTTAAACTAATAAATGCACTCGGTCCGGCTGAGGTGAGTGTGTTCCGGTGGGAAAGTGCGCGCTAAAAATGCTGGGTTGTTTTAACCCAACTTTGGGTCAAATATGGACAAATCAAAAGCTGGGTTAAAAATGTAATTCAAAAATTTACCCCAATGCCTGTTTGTCCATATCTGACCCCAAGTTGGGTTAAAACAACCCAGCAATTTTTAGAGTGTAGGTTTAGGGTAGGATCAGGATTTGGTTGAGAGTTAGTTGATTGTAATAATTTACTGTTATTACTGTGGTACATGACAGACACTAAAATAAAGTGCATGTCATCAAACTTTCTAACCAGATTTCCGGATTACAAAAGCATTTACCATAACTCTCTCATAATGTGCAATGGCAAAGCTGCAAAAACGTAGAGCGCAATGTAATGTATGGAGCTGGGCAGTTTTTTTATTTTCCTGCCATATAAAAAAGTCACCTCATTAAGGTCTTTAGGTCCTTTTATGTGTTATTCTGTCTTAAGCATTTTCAAGTAGTTTAAAACTGTGAAGCCTAAATGGAAAGACAGTGATAGAGTGATAGAAGCATTGGCAGCTGGATCTACATGTCCCTGAAAGTGACACTCGAGAAAAAGTCCATTCTTTGTGACTTATCCTTTTAAATATACATAAGATTCTTGAAAGAAAATCCCCCATTCTGAGAAACTTGTAACCTTGATAAACTGCTTCAGGTATGCTTTATATAGTTAAATTGATTCCAGGCATGAGTGAGGTTTTAAGATAGAAAGGACTGTAACTAGACAATGTGATCCAATGTGCTCAGGATAAAAGAGCTGGTTGAAAAAGGATAAAGCTTTAAGGACGTCTCAAAATATTTGATTCATAAGGCTTTATATTTTTGTACATCAGTCAAATAGTTTTAACGTGTTGTTGTGTGAGCATGCATTTAAAATAAAATAGTCTTTAAAACAAAGTTGTTATGGTTACCTTTTTTTCTAATTGGATTTCATATTATTATGACTAGATGACCATTGGTTTAGCCAGAAATAGTTTGAAGTGCTTCTAAAAAATTGATACAGCTTTTGATGAACAAATATGACAAAAGCCTCATAATGGCATCCCTTACAATGGCATGACAGAAAATCCCTTTTTTTCCACCAAGGCCGTGCACCTGTGATTCACACTATGAGATATTTTATGAATAATCGGTGTAATTCTGTATTAGTGCATTCTCCACAAACTAATATGAACGTTCACTTTTTAATTTGTTTTCTCCATAAACCTAATCAATCAGCTCTGAGATTAATCAAATTACACACTTTGATTCAAAGCGAAATTTAGGGAACTATTTACTTCATGGAGCACTGCATATTATGATGTAATCGAATCAAAATGCTGAAATATGTTAAATGTCAAAATATAAAAATACTGATTTGTAGTCACTGATATAAAAACAACAGATTTATAGTTGATTATGTCATTCACAGTGCTTCTTGGGAGTGGGTGGTTCTAGCTGAGCTCTTTTGCTGCCATTTGCATTTCCATGGTAACAGTGTTCTATTGGTGGGGCTTTTTTTTAGGATTATGGGTAATGTAATTCATCACCAAAAAAAAATGTAACAATTTATTATTCACATTTTGCTTAGAAATCATTTGTTTTGATTATATATATAGGATATAATGGCACTTTTACTTCTGGAATGCTGTTGCAATTTATTTATTTATTTAGTTATTGGAGTAAATCAGAAACCTTGACAAAAATGAAAAAGTTGCAAGTTGTGTTTTGTCTAACAAGATATCACATATTGTGTGTGTTTCTTATAATAGATGTGTTTTTCATTAACGCATGTATCAATCAAAAGAGATGTTTGTGCAAAGACTATACAATTATAAGCCTGAGAAACACAACATATGTGAATAGTTGGTAATGTCAATGAAGTTCAGAATACTATCAAATTTACTATAAAAAACTAAGAATTTTTGCTCGTCTACTTTTCAATGTTCAAGCCTTAATTAACAATGCGCTGCAATTTCATAAAGGCCTTCACCTAAGGTGCTTCGTGATTCATTCATTCTCAAATCACTTAGTGGCTATAAAAATGATTCACCTCTATAAGTTTTAACATTTTACAACATTAATCCACAGGATTTAATTAGAATTTTCTGACACTGATCAACAGAAAAAATGTCATTAATGACAAAGGGATTTCTCCTTTTACACACTGGTCAAAATGTAGGCTATTACAGATTCATTTGCCTACATAGTCATCCCCTTTTAATTTTTAAATGCACTTTTGTCAGCGATTACAGCCTTGAATCTGTGCAGTTTTAATATTTATGTGATTTCTTAAACTAAATAACTACACCAGACTGAGGGGGTGAATACCTATTAAATAAATTATTTGTAATTGTTTTAGATAGGCTAATTATGTAGAGATCTACTTTTCTTTTCACTTTGGCATTAGTCTGTTTTCCATCAGTGTCAGGATGGAAGTCAAATTATGTCCATTATGCTGTAAACAACAAAATAGGAAAAGGGCCAAGGGGGTGAACCTTTTATCAAATGATTGTTTTTAATTTTTATATTTTTACCATAAAATCTAAAACCCTTGCATCTCTTAAAATGTTAAAGGGATAGTTCACCCAAAAATGAAAATTCTATCATTGTTTACTCACCCTCAAATTGTTCCAAACCTCTATGTGTGTTTATTTGTTCTGCTGTACACAAAGAAAGATATTTGCAAGACTGTTTTAATTAAACAGATCTCATTGACTTCCATAGGAAAAAATACATAGTCAATGGGGATTGAGATCTGTTTAATTAAAACATTCTTCCAAATATCTTCCTTTGTGTTCAGCAGAACAAATAAACACATAGAGGTTTGGAACAACCTGAGGGTGAGTAAATGATGAAAGAATTTTCATTTTTTGGGTGAACTAACCCTTTAAGCTAGGCCTACTTTGCTTGTTAGGTTATGTTTATGTTAGATAATGCCTAGAATATCATTATCGTTCTCACAACAACATCAAAAAATAACAACGGGGGATTTGTGTAAAAGGCTGTGTTAAAAAAGAAAATAAATCATGGAACACCAAAGTGTAATTTGTAGAAATTGTCCATTCATCGGCACTGACTGTACCATGACTCTTGCTGACTCATGCACGCGCTCGTAAAGCACACGTCTTTTACGTGAGCATGCACGAGTTCTACTTCCTGATCACGCTGTCATATGACTCCGTCTGTTCATCCGCTCTCCGCGTAGATCTGTTTACACATAGACAGTTTAGTTTAATTAAGAAAAATAACAATAATGTCTACATTAGTAGCTAATCGACCCGTGGATCTGAACGGCCCTGAAGCAGCGGCTCGCCAGCACGCGCAAGCCGTAGTCAGAAACTACATCTCCCAGCCCAGACTGAGTGAGTGACATTTACATTTCATTCATACAGCTAACAGCAGCAACACATCTGGCGTTTCTCTCTCTCGTCTAGTTCTCTGCACTGCTTTTTAATCTGAATTGGGTTTGATCAGAGGTTAACACCGCCAGGACGGAGCTGATCTAACGTTACCGCTAGTGTTGTCAATGTCAGATTTGAGTCAATAGAGCACCGCTATCGTGCTAAAAGTAGCTAGAGCTGTTTATAGGTTATCGCTCATCACTTTTAATTTATTTAATTAATTTATTTATTTTTTACCAATTTTAAAGGCCATTGTGTAAATAAACAAATTAAAGGTGTTATGTAAGCTCATTTTTATAAGAAAGTGCATAACCTTTGGTGTCTTTGAAAGTCTAAGCGTAAACATGCTAGCTAACCAAGCAGGGCTAAATCGTGATATTTATTGGCAGAACGGTTGGTCTTATATGGAATCTTCATCCAAAACTACAATAAACCGTACTCTTATGTCATAGATTGCTTAGAGGTGGTATTTAACTGTTAACTGTGCTAGATGCGACGTTAAGTGTTTTAAGGCTCCATCTATGAGTGGCTTATTAAGCTTTATTAGATTAATACTGATAGTATGACTGAATTTATATAAATATGCAGTGTAGGTCTGTATTTAGTGATGGGAACGGACGTTTTTATGAATTTGTTTTCGATTCTCACGCAGTATGTAATGCAATAAGAGAGACAGATGGAGGGATGATCCCTCTCATGTGACAAGATCACGTGACACCCAGCTGAGCTGGTGAATAAAGAGCAATGAGGAACCTTCAGCTCCACACAAATCATGTGACTTGGTTTGTAACAGAAAAAGTTGCAAATATATATATATTTTTTTTCATTTAAAATCTTGTTACTGAGTGGATAGTAACATAATATTTTAATTCAAATGCTGCAGTGAGAGCTTTCTTCTCTGCATTTTCATGGTCATCTGGAATATTCCATATTTTGCCAGGTTGCAGAATAGTGTTTTTCATAATGATTCTGTTTGGAAGTTAAGTTAAGATATACATCAGAAAGTGTTTTTTTGCCGGACTCTTAATTTTACAGTGGGATACTGTTACAGATCCATCTCTGAATCTGCTGATGCTGTTTTATTCTATTATGAAGTGCTTTTCATCCCTTTCCATCATGTCTATTTATATTTAATTTTTAACCATTTTTTTCATTTTTTTTAATAATAATAATAATAATAATAATAATAAAACTTTATTTGATATAGTGCCTTTAAAAGTAGTATCTCAAAGCACTTTACATAAAAAATAATGGAATTAGAAAGATACACAACAGTCTAGGCAATAAAAACTAAACAAGCAATAAAATAAAAGGCAAATATAATAACAATCACAGTAATCACACAATCACATAAAAGCCACCCTAAAAAAGTACGTTTTAAGGGAGGATTTAAAAACTCTTTTTGTCAGGAGGATTTAAAAACTTTTTTGTCAAGGGTTTTGTTGTCGAATAGTTGGCCTAGTCAGCCGCCACATAACAGCACATCGCAAATCGTTTAAAACCCTATGAAAAGCACAGTTTCCCTGCTGTGTTGACATATTTCCTATTAAGTTTGAATGTGACATTAAAGGGTTCACCTGTTTTCCTATTTGGTGGTAGGTGGTTTTAACACTGACTGGTTTAGCATTCTCATTCTTGAGTATTTGGGCACTTTGTCCAATGGATGAGTTATCAACATTTTTAGTGTGACCTCTCAGACTGTAAATTTTAAATCTTAATATATGCTAAAAGTGTATTTTTTTCAATGTTTACACGTTCACTGGATACAGATGGCTGATCTGAATTATAATTTTAATTTTATGTAGTGCAGTGCAACATGTATATTTGTTTGGTCAGTTTTGAACCTGGCATTTGCAATGAAATGGAAAAAAAAACAAAACAAAACAAACAAAAAAAACAGTGAAATGCAATAGATGGTCAAATAGAGGAAGCAGCCTATAATATATTTTTGTATTCCAGTTACAAAATAGTGAATTTTCCACTCCTGTCTTTGTCGTTCACAAAATTTGGTCTTGCTAAGATTAAAAAAAAACAAAAAAAACAAGTTTTTGAAAGAAGTCTCTCATGCACCAAGGCTGCATTTATTTGATAAAAAATACAGCCAAACAGTTTGGAATATTATTAAAATTTATAGCAACACTTTTCTATTTGAATATATGTTAAAATGTAATTTATTATATCTTAATTTTCAGCATCATTACTCCAGTCTTCAGTGTCACATGATCCTTCAGAAATCATTATAATATGCTGATTTGCTGCTCAAGAAACATTTCTTAATATTATTAATGTTGAAAATGGTTGTCCTGCTTGATATTTTTTTTTTTAAATTCATAAATAGCTTTAAAAATATAGCCTCAAATTGCCATTGAGATTTTTTTTTCGTGTTCTCGTGATTTAGTCTTGCTTAAAAATTGCAGAGGAAGTGTACATTTCTCTTATGGGGAAGTAGGCATGAGCCAAACATTCAATCTGAGAAGATCTGAACACTGAAGTTTTTTTCCTATTCTATCTCTTGTATATGTGTAGATTTGTCGTTGTTTTTTTTTTCTCTCTTATAAAGAATACCCTATATTTCGTTCTCTCAATTTTTCTCAAAACCTCGAAATATCCTGCATTCAACCTGCTGAAACATCAGATGACTCCGCACAGTCATAATGCGTTACCGGCATCTATTCAATAACATAATTTGACTCTTGTGTATGATGTTTCAGCAGTTGAGTAGTTAATTTTGTTTACCCCTTTAATGGAGAACCTTACAAAAATTACCGGTCGTCTGGCATCTTTCTCTCATTTTTTCCCCCTTCATGTGTATTATCAGTGTAAATCTCATTAATTTAGACCTCGCTAAACACACTGTCTCACAGGGCGCACAGGTAGCGTGTTTTATTTTTTCTAAAAGTGTCAAAGGAAAGCTCAGGCTGAAAGCCTCTTAGCAAACCAGGAAGAAAATAAATGACTTAATGGAAGAATTGAAGCCTTCCCTTCTGAAAGCCAAAGAAGCTGCATGTGTAAAGACCCCGATCTGATCCGCCCCCCCAGCATACTGTTAAAAACAGCCTCTCTAATGTAGGCATGCCAGATAGCAGCACCATTTTGTGCCTCATCAGTGGCAGAGTGCATGCTGATAGTGGGCTGTGATTGAAGGCAATGAAGACTGATGGGAAGGCAAACACATAGATCTGTACATGAGTCCCGGCAACGCCTGATATGCCGTCACAGTCAAGAGGCCGTGGCCGCCAGCGCAGGTCTGATTGGCCCTGCTTTGTCCTTAGAAATTGCTGAAAAACACAGTGAAAAGACCTTCAAGTTTAAAACTTTTAAATCTCAAATTTAAAAAAAAAAGAAACCAAAATTGAGGCCATTGAAAGGGAGAAGCTGCCGGAAAGTATTTTGCCATTTTGTTACCAAATGTTTGGTATGTAGAGAATTTTTTTTTTTTTCACGTATTTTTCTGTTTCTCATCATTTTCGTCGTCGGCTAGTGCGTTTAAATACTTTATTAGCATTCTTATGCCCAGTCAAATTTCGAAGATGCCTGAAGAAACAAACAAACAAAGTAAACGTACAGTGCATTCATCTTTTCTGTGGAAGTAAAGGCCTTTTTTGTCTTAATCACGTCATTTGCAACAAAAGCAATTAACCCAGACTGTCTGTTCGCTTTGTTTTAATACTGAATAGACGTTTAAATGTGCTGAAAAGACATTCAGCACGGTAATGGTATTTCTGTGAAGAAACAATTACCCGTAATGACATGGTTATAAACAAATCTTTCAGATGTCACAGCCCTCCTTTATTTTATCCACTGTTTCCTGTTGCTAATCCTTTTGTCCGCCTGTAATTAATCAATTGTCGTGACAGTGAAAAAGAAAGCCCGCGGTGGGCGTTCGACTTCATCTTGCCATCAAAGAAAAGTAAATGAAAGACAAGTATAGAACAGTCAACTTTCAAAAATAGTATCCAAGTATATAAAATTATGGACCACTTAAATTGAATGGAAAAAAAAAAATCCTTTTATTCCATTATGCACGTCACATATGACACACTATTTTTCTTTACAGAACTTTGGTTCTATCGTAAATGCAGATTATTATTATTTTTTTGTTGTTCTTGTGTGTTTATGAAAAAATGTTTACTAAGTATGTCTAGTTATGTATATTAAATGTATAATTTATTTTAATTTATAATTATATTTTTGTTTACATTTTGTGGATAATTATTTATATGAAATATTTACATGAAAATGACTACTAAAGTCTTCTAATTGTCGTCGTCTTATGCATTTTTAAATATGCATTTTACATAAATATGCGTTTTATTGCACAGTGTACATGTTCATAAAATAATAGGCTAGCTGTCTAAATGCGCTATTAACCCGAGAACTTTTGCTTACAGTTTTATGTATCTTTGTTATAAAATATGGAGATTCTGAGATAATAAAAAGTTTCTTGATTTAAAATATCTTGTCTTGTTTCCAACACCAAAGTAACTTGAGTACGCCATTCATATCGACTCTAATATGATATGTGACAAACAAGTGTAAACTTGGCTTGTCATACTGGGGGCCCGCTATGGACTTTTGTTATAGATCTGTTGCTAGGCAGCGTATGAGTGAAAAAACCCGCCTATCCCTGCAAATCACTCTCAAACTGTTGCAGTAGCATTACGGCTGTTTCGATCTATTGTAACTGCACCACTTTGCAACCTCTCCTCGAGAGGCAGTGGGGTTAACCAGCTGTCTCAGTTTAGCTGTCACCCCTTCAGTCTGCATCCCGCCAGGAAACACACACAGATTACAGCTCTTCCCACCGTTAAACCCCCCCCCAACCCTCATACACGCACACGCAGTCCTCTGATTACACACGACCCAATCAGTGCATGTGTGTGTGGGGAGTCCTCCGTTACAGCCTCTGCTTCTACCTGTGGGGTTAAAAGCATTCCTGTTTGATGGGGGTGTCATCACTG